TCTGAGGTTGCTTTGAGCTAGGCTGACGCCACAGCACTCACTCTAGCCTGGGCAACAAAGTGAGACTCTGTCTCAAAAAAAAATAGAAGCTCTGATAATAGAAAGATTCTGCAGTCATGTCACCTGATAACACAGGTATGAGAAGTGTAAATCAAGTTATCAGAGTAGAGAGGCCACTGAAGTAAATCTAAAAGTGTTTTAATATCTCTTTTGCCACATAGAGATTTCCGACTTTATATAATTGTGGGTGAACAATTTATAAAACATATAATTTGTATGTGTGGACAAATTCTAAAATTTATATTTTTCTATTATGGATTTCCTTTTTATATAATATATAAATTATATAAAAGCAAGTAATTCAAGACTATCCAGAACAGGAAAGAATAAATAGAAAATTCCTTAAATAGAGCCCTCTTACCACTTCTGTTATCAAGGAAGATCAAAGAACCATAGAGTTTTAGCACAGGAAGGAATCTCAGAGTTCATTCATACCGAAACCTCAATGTCTCAGAAGAGGCAGAGAAAGTTTAGAGAAGTGATTTGTTCAAAGTCATCTAGCTAGAGAGAAGCAGACTTAGGACTAGAATTTATTTAATACTTATTCTTTCATTCACTTAACAGTTAGGAAATCCTGCCCTGTGCCAGGTGAGATACTAAAGCAGCAAAAATACAAAGAGGGGTGAATTTTGTCCCTTAGATCTCAATGAACTGTCAGGGTAGGAATATTCAGGATGGGGAGGGACAGACATAAACTTTACTAAAGCCATTACAGAACATCAGTAAAAGAAACAATACTTAAAAATCTACATTTTATATTTCAAAACTCCATTAACACTTTGAGAGCTTCAAGCCAGGGTGGCACCTAAAATAACAGAGACTCTTTCTCCAAAGGAGGATAAACAGGATCCTGGTTTATAGATTTTCTAATGGAACTTCCATTTAATATGTGTTCTTTATTATAATCATTACCAGCAACATTAAAACTGCATTATTGCCAGCCACAGTGGGACTGCATGCCTGTAGTCCCAGCTACTCGGGAGGCTGAGGCAGGAGGATTGTTTGAGCCCAGGAGTTTGAGGTTGCTGCGAGCTAGTCTGAGCCACGTCACTCACTCTAGCTTGGGCAACAAAGCGAGACTCTGTCTCAAAAAAAAAAGAAAGTAAGACTATAATGATAAAATGAATGTGATGAGGGAATTAATTATAGTTGTAAAAATGCCAAAACCTGTACACAGTGATCGTTCTGTGGCCAGCTGTGACATACATCCACATTAATCCAAGTTTCTACATGCTCTGTAAGGACTATAAGGATTAACTATTTTTTTAAGCAGGACATATAATCCTATTACTACCCAAAGTATGACATGAAACCAGATGACCTCTCATACTGTTCTATTTTATTTAATCATTTTGTTATTAACAATCAGTTTTTAAATGATAGAATTAAATATAAGCTCTCTCAAAAGGTTTCCTTGGATGGCTTTAAAAAAAATGTTTAAAATAAAATCTTTCACGGTGGCTCACACCTGTAATCCTAGCACTCTGGGAGGCTGAGGCAGGCGGATTGCTTGAGGTCAGGAGTTCGAAACCAGCCTGAGCAAGAGCAAGACCCCATCTCTACTATAAATAGAAAGAAATTAATTGGCCAACTAATATATATATATATAAAATTAGCCGGGCATGGTGGCGCATGCCTGTAGTCCCAGCTACTCGGGAGGCTGAGGCAGAAGGATTGCTTGAGCCCAGGAGTTTGAGGTTGCTGTGAGCTAGGCTGACGCCACGGCACTCACTCTAGCCTGGGCAACAATCGAGACTCTGTCTCAAAAAAATAAAAATAAATAAAAAAATAAATAAATAAAATCTTTACCTATTTGTTGAATCTGAAAAATACCTGCATACAGATATATAATTAACCTTGAACAATGGGAGTCTTTTCTTTTTTTTAAGAGACAGGACAATGGTGTGTGTGTGTGGGGGTATGTGTCTCTCTATGTTGCCCAGGCTGGCCTAGAATTCCTGGGCTCAGGGGATCCTCCTGCCTCAGCCTCCTGAGTAACTGGGATTACAGGCGTGCACCACTGCGCCCAGCTAACAGTAGGAGTCTTTCACTTCCCACTTGCTGACTTTACTGGGATAAATTAAAACAGCAAACAATTGATATTGAAATGTCAAGGCTAAAATGTCACAGAAACACCAAGTTCAGTAAAGTATCTCCTGTTCCGAGTAGTCTAATGATACAATCATCAAGGTGTCTTTAAGGATGTGGCTGTGACCTTACATTGCAGAGCTTCATGGCTGCAACCTTAACATTTCCTGTCACAGTCTTTGAGTCAATCCTCATGCCCACACAGTAAAGTGAGTTTTCATTTCATTCTTGAATTCACTCAGGTAAGTGGGTGGGTATGTGCTCAAACTTAGAGACAAATTATCACATTACTCGGAGTCCATTAATCTCATTGCTCTGATTTTTTTTTATTTCCTTTGAAACTAAATAATTCTTCACCTACTGCCCTTCATTGCTTGACAAAAACTCAAAAAAATAAAAGTACTAGAAAAAGTCAATAACCAGCGTATCACTTGGCCAATGACTATTCATTTACATCTTCATGCTTCAGTATCCCTCTTTTTAAAATGAGAATCATATCTGGCCCAACTCTATAGAGAACCAGAATAAGAGAAATACTATCTGTGAGAACACTTAAAATGCTTTGGAAGAAAGACATAAGAATATTGTCACTTTAAAAAGAAAATGGTACAAAATAAGAAAAGGAATACAGCGAGTAAGTAACAGAAGAAATTAACAATCCTGGACACTGTTGTTACTGGCTATTCTCTTTTCTCTCTTAGCCATCTAACCTCAAAACATCTTCTGTAGTGATCAAATTTTGTGTGCATACTGCCAAATGCTCTAACATTCTTTAGAACCCAGTATTGCAGGGAAACACACAGGGATGTAATTCACCCCTGAGAAACAGACTTCCATTTCTTTACCCGCCTCTCCTCTTAGTCTGTAAACTGATATTTGATGTAAGCACAAAGCCTCACTTGTTTTGGTCCAAATATCCAGATACATGGGTGGACTCCTTCTACCAAGGAATGTCATCAAAGTTCACATCTGCTGATTCCATAACATGAGAGACCATCTGCCTCTCCCCAAAGCAGTGTGAAGCACTTTTTGCATCTGAAAATAAATTGCTTTCACCCATCGAAAACGTATTGAGCACGAGCAACATAGAAGGAACTCTGCTGGGTGCTGTGGAGGATGTCAAGATGAAAAAGTTAGTCCTTGCCCTTGATAAGACCTTTTACAGGCCCACATTCTCAGCTACAGATTTCAGCCAGATTCAGTTTTCCTCCAGAACAGAGGCTGTGGTGTTTTCTCCCTATTTCCAGGGCTTAGTGCTACAGGTTAACTGAATGAATACACAGAAGAATGGGTGTTCTAGTGAAGATGGTTCCTGTTCTTGTGTTCAGTTATAAGAAATTACATTTCTAGCCTCTTCACAGTCTGATTCCAAATGCTTAATTAAGAGAGAGAAAGAAGAATCCATCATGGAAACAGGTCAGAGACCACAAGGTAGACAAATGGAAAGTGAAGAGAAGAAGAATGGAAGAAGGGAAAAGAAAAAGTACCACGTAGAAAAAGTCCATGAAAACAAAAACTTCTGCAGAAAACTTAGGAAGAATTCAGTTGATTCTCAATAATCAGAATAAAATAGATAAAAGCCTTGATGGGAAGAAAAAAAATTGGTGAATATTTAATTAATCAAAGATTAGAAAGGAGGAAAAAATGTTTCCTTTGGCCTCCAGCAAATGCCAGGCCACTTTGGCCAAAGCATAGAACCTTAAATAATGTTCCAAATAATTGTATTTGGACAAGGAAGAATGTGAACCTCACCTAGCATAGGTCCTCTCTCCACCTGCTGCTTTCATTACTTGAGTTCTCAAACTCATTGATCTCATGACCTCTATACATGCTTCAACTTTGTTGAGCGTCCTAAAGAGCTTTCACTTACGTGAATTATATCTAATGATATCTACCATATAGCATATCAAAACTGAGAAATTTTCAAAATATTATTTCAAATCAAGACAACAAACTGTACTTACTTTTTGTTGTGTTTCCACATAGACTTGAGGAAAAGTTCAAGATTCCAAGATAATAACTTATTTGAGAATAATGAAGTTACAGCTATCCTGGTAGATATGAACAAAGATAGCTAATAAAAATACAGAAGTTTTGAGAACAAATGAATTTTATTAATCTCTATAAATCCACCAAAATCTCTCTAAAATGTACATATTGATACTTTATACCTACTACCATAGAAAATGCAAGCAAGTACACACATGTATTCTTTTAATTAGCAAAGTGATGATGTCATTCATGTCAAATAGCCTCCGGAAATTTCCACTGTACACTCTTGAGAGAATGAAAGTGAAAAAAGCTAATCATGTGTTGTCACCATATGGAAATAGTTTCGACCTCATGGACCTCTTGAAAGGATCTTGAGGACATCCCTGGAGGACCACCATTGGAGAACCAATGTAATCGATTGAGTTTAAGGTCGTTTTCCATTTCATGTTACTAATAAAGTGCATTTTCTCTGATAAATAGTTTGCTTTCGTTCTCCTAGACCACCCTTTGAGAACAGACGGCCGAGGGGTAACCACAGGACCCCGAGCCTAGTGGAACCCAAAGCGAAAAGTCCCGGACGCGCCGAGGTGAGCCGAGCACTGGGGACTGAACTGCTCCCCTGGATTCGCCGAGAAGCCGGGTCTAGAAGCGAGTGGAGAACCAGCCACCCGCGCCGCCGAGGCGGGGCCAGAACTCGGCGGGCGGCCGGGTTCGCCCGGGCCCAGGGCAGAGGCCGCGGCGGCGGGGAGAGCGCAGCGCGGACTCCGCGAGACGCCGGCCCCCGCCCTCCCGCCGCAGGTAGGCCGGCCCCCGGGAGGAGGCGCGCGGCCAGGTGCGCCCCCGGTGGCCGCCTCCGCCCTTCCCCACAGCTCCGGCGGCGCCTTCCTGGGAGCGCAGCGCGAGCCCGCGCCTCGCGTGTCCCCGGATCCCCTCTGCGGACCCCTGGCTCTCCCTCCGTGTGCGCGCGGGCGCCACCCGGGCCCTGCGGGGAGCGAGGCCCAGAGCGTCGCCGAGATTTGGGGGGGCCCGGAGATCGAGGGCCTGGCGGCCTCAGGAACCGCTCCAAAACCAGACCCCGGCCCGGGGGCGGCTGGAACATGTGCCGGGGGACACAGGTGCGCGGCCCGGCGGCGGGGCCGTGGCGGGGAAGGGGTTGCCCCGAGGGGGCCACCTCGGCGGACGGGGTCGCGTTAGAAGGCGAGGGTGAGAGTTGACCGCGGCGACAGGTGCCCGGCCAGCCCCCGGCCGAGTCCCGGGGCGCGGCTTCGGTCCCGGCCGTTCCCGCGGCCGCTTTCCCCGCGCGTCGGGCTCGGGCCACCGAAACCGCGCCGGGCGCTTTCGCGCGGCGACAACAGGTCGGTGATTCAGTTCCCACAGCAACTCAAGTGCTGAGCCTGGGGGTTTTCTGATTTTTTTTCTTTTCTTTTTCCTTTTTTTTTTGTTCGTTTGTTTGTTTTAGTTTGTTTGACAGTTGCCAGACTATGTTTACACTTCTGGTTCTACTCAGCCAGCTGCCCATGGTTACCTTCGCGTTTCCTCATTGCACAAGAACCCCGCAGGATTCTCAGCATGCGGGAGAAGAAGGTAAGCAAGGTGTCAGTTTCTAAGAAAACCCTTCTAGAAACTGGAGCCACACGTTGTAGCTCTCAAGTGGGAAAGTGCAATATTTGAAATTACATGCCTCCATCAATAGTAGAAGCACTAAAATATGCTTTCGTTTTAATTTGTGGTTTATTTGGTAAGGTTGTGTGTTTTTTATGTTCTTTACAATGTATATAACTTTATTTGTGTGTTCCCTTTGATAAATATAAGACCTGGTCTGTGGTTAACTGGAAAAGCTATTTTGACTTATGAAAATTAGTGACGTTTTTCTAGATCAAGCTGTGTGGTGATTATAGTGGGCATAATTGTTCTTCCTGGAAAGATGGACAGGAAGTCCATGTTCTAGTCTGGACTTGCCGCCTAACTCTGGGCAGGGTACTTAATCCCTTTGGGCTTGAATGTCTTAGGCTGTACAATGATGGAGGTGGGATGTAAAATGATCTTTTTGACTTTCAAATATCTGGTTGTCTAGATTGAGGCAGATGGTTGAGAGATTAGGTTTGGGGCTTGCTAGTTTAGAATTCCACAGCTGTTAAATTCCAGGTCATAAACAAATTGGTTCCTGCCTATATTGTAAAAGCCTAACCTAGCAAAACCAGAAAAGAAAAAAAATTGCTTGTGATTCTCAGTATCCCTTTATCTGTCTAGTTAGAAGAAACTGTGTTTCTCCACCCACTGCCAGCAGTTTTGAATCTACTTCCCCACACATTCCTGTCCCTTATCCCTTCTCATCAGATGCTACTCTCAGCTCATTTTCATTTGGGAAGGATCTGTTACACTAATACTCCTAGCTGATTTATTAATTATTAAGACAGCTTATTCTGTATGTATACAGTGTGTGTGTTTTAAGAGAGGACAGTCCCTTAACCCAAAGGAATCAAATTCTGATAACAGAATTCTAGGCAACTGAATAGGCTAGCTACTGGTGGGATAAGGAGAGATTATGGAAGGGGATCCTTCTTGGTACCTCCCAAGTTGTACCATATATATAAGTCCAGCCATATAAAAGGTTGTACTTAAAAGGTTCATACTCAGTAGGACCAGATGCACCTCCCCAGAATGAATATACAGTGAGTGTATTCATTCATTTACAGGACAGAGGCCTAAAAGACACTCTCAAGGACATCACAAACTGTGGAGGGAATTTAGAGATCATTCTTGGGTGCAGAGGGCTGGAGATGTCTGTGGGAAATGTAGATGAGGGATCCTACACATTTGAAAAGCCAACTTAGTCAGTCAGTAGCCAGTTTAGGAATACATGGCATATGTTAGTCCCTGTGCTAGGTGCTGGAGACATAGAAATGACACTGTAATCCCTGCCCTGGAGGACCTCTTCATCTGGCGGGGGAGGCAGGGTGTAAACAGATAACCTCCGTAAGCTCTATAACAGAAGTAGGCACGGAGAATTGTGAGAGCAAAGAGTACCAGTAACTGTGCCTTGGGAGAGTTGTCCCCCACAGAAGCCAATGCTTTCCAGATGCAAATGGGATATAATAAATGGAGATATGAAAAGTAACTGGAAAAAGGGGACTTTTAGCTAAATTTTGATAAATCCTGAGAGCAGAGTTGAAATGACTTAAAAGGAACTTACTTAGAAAACATGGGAAGAGGGAGGAGAGGAAGAGAATGGAATATTGTATAACAATGGAATACAGGGAAAGCCTCTTGTAACAGTCTAAGGAAAAACAGAAAAGGGAAGAGAATCTAAGGAAGCAGATGCAAAGTCCAGTGCATCCTCTGGCAATGATCAAGAGGAAAATAAATACAAGCTCTTGCTGAGAGCCAAGGATGCTCCAGGGTCAGGGAATTTTGCCTCTTTTCAGGATTACTTAGAATCCAAATAAGATAAGACAGTATTTCTCCTGAGATTCATAAGGGATGCAGAGAAAAATTTGATCTGGCACTGAAGGTTAAGTCTAAGGTCAGTCACTAACAGAACCAGAACTTTCATATTGAGGGAAAGCATAAACAGCAACCCCTGGAAGGCATGTTTAATATAGTATTAATCATACTATCATGATAGTCATAAATATATTTGTGATTGCCACATAAATGTTATTTTGAGAAAAACAAAAATGTGGCTTTTAAAAAATTTCCCTGTAAGTTAAAAGTAGCTTTTTTGAATCTCATTGTGTGTGTGGGGGGGTGTATTTTTTATAACTCAGATAACCACTTCAACAGAAGACTGTCAATGGGAAATTTGGCACCGTTTTTTTAGTCAATAAAATGTAAAGATCTTGGGCATATCTGAGAAGTAGCAATGCAGAGGCAGATTTCTATTCTCCATTCTGAAATTAGATGACATGCAGAGTATAGCTAAGTTAGGCAGGCTATGGGTTGCTTTACCACTGGTTTAGTACTTTAAACCTATGCCAACCTGAGAAACACCAGACTATATCTATGAATTGCCTCAACTGGTAGACTTTAGGTCAAGAGTTTCTTCCTAATATTGGAAAGCTGAATTTGTTCATTCATTCAGTAATTTTTTGAACACTTCCTATGGGCCAGGCACCAATATCCCTGCTTTAATGGAGCTTCCCTTCTATTAATAGTGAGGACAACAGAGTAGTATCAAATAAATAAGTAAAACATATAGAACACCAGATGGTGATGAGTGCTATGGTGAAAAGCAGAGTGTGGACAGGTCATGCCAGAGGTGGGTGGGTAGCGATGGGGGTTCAAGGTAACATTGAATTAAATCCTGAAGGAGGTGAGGGGGGCAAACTGAAAGAAGAAAGTTTTATTCAGAGGAAATAGCAAGTACAAAAGCCGACAAGAAGCAGGTGTGTTGGAAGTTAGCGTAGCTGCAACAGAATATAGGAGGGAAAGTGGTAGAAGATGAAGGTCAGAGGGGTAAGGGCTTTGGACCAGATCACCATATCATATATGGCCTTGTAGGCCATTGTAAGGACTTTGGTTTTTACTCTGCAGGAGGTGGAACTATTAGGAGGTTTTAGAAAAGCAAAGTAGGAAAAAATAGGAACAAAGTCTGACTTACCTTTTTAAAGGATCTCTTTGGCTGTTATGTTAAAAGCAAATTGTATGGGAGGCCGATATGGGCAGATTGCTCAAGGTCAGGAGTTCGAAACCAGCCTGAGCAAGAGCGAGACCCTGTCTCTACTATAAATAGAAAGAAATTAATTGGCCAACTAATATATATAGAAAAAATTAGCCGGGCATGGTGACGCATACCTGTTGTCCCAGCTACTTGGGAGGCTGAGGCAGCAGGATTGCTTGAGCCCAGGAGTTTAAGGTTGCCGTGAGCTAGGCTGATGCCACGGGGCACTCACTCTAGCCTGAGCAACAAAGCCAGACTCTGTCTAAAAAAAAAAAAAAAAAAAAAAAAAAAAAAGCAAATTGTAGAGGAACAAAGAAACCACTTAGAAGGCCATTGTAGGAATCCCAGTGAGGGGTGATGGAAGCTTGGAAAATCTTTCTGTCTCCATTTGTTAGTAGCATAAAATCTACAAGAAGACAAAGGAGGAAGAAGAATAGAAATATTTCACCACACTGGCTCCTCTCCATCTGTCTTTTAGAATACCTCTTAAAACAACTATCACCAAGTATCCCATTCTAGCTTCCCCCTAGGTTTAAATAGTCCGAATCTGCTATTTATAACATAGACATTGTAGAGTAGTACTGGCCAAAAGAAATATACTGTGAACCACATAAATAATTAAAATTTTTCTAATAGCCACATTTTTAAAAGTAAAAAAAGATGAAATTAATTTCAATAATGTATTTAGTTTAACCCAGTATTCAAAAATCATAATTGAAAAATATAAATAATATACAACATTATTGAGCTATTTCACATTCTTTTTTTCCCCCCATACTATGTCTTTGAAATCCTGTGTGTGTTTTATACTTATAGTACATCTTGATTTGGACTAGCCACATTTCAAGTTCTCAATAGCCATATGTGGCTAGTGGCTACTGTATTGGACAAAACAGCTCTAGAAGATTCAGACCTATTTGGAAAGATAATTAATTCATAGAAAAAATATCTTGGATGAAATGTGACTTCTCAAGGGGTTAAGAATAAATGCCCAACTTAAGGTCACTAACAAATCAGTATGTATTAGCTTTCCAGACCTACTTTAATATATTCTTCCTTTAGTAATGGTTAGCAGTGAGAAGTAACAACACTTTTAAATTCTTTCAGGCATTTCAATGTGGTTCTCAGAGAGTTTCTGAATTCTAGTCTTGGTAATATGATCTGGCACAAAATCACTTAAGTTTTGTTTGTTTGATACCAGTTTAAAGTTTGTGAGTTTTGAAAATACTACCATAGTGTGATGTTTTGGATTTGTGTCAACCTGTGCTCAGCCTTTTTAAGTTTACCATTTACCTTTTCAGCAAATATAAAGGGAGTCTCCCAACGCATTATGGATATATATTTGGTGTCTGGGGTGGAAGGAGCTGCTCCTTTGGGAGAAGGGGGTGAATGTCTTTGAGTTAATCTTATAACTAATTTATGATTTCATTAACTTAAAAGTTTAGAATTTTATGTTTTAGTATAAACTTGAATATAACAATTTTAATATAAAAGTATTAATTTATAATTTTAGAACCTAAAGAGATCTTAGTGATTAGTTCAATTCCCAATTTTACAAATAAAGAAGAAATGGCAGCTTAGACATGATAAGTGATTTATCCCATAATACCCAGCTGATAGCTTAAGCGAAATCAAAACGAAAAATGTTTCCTCTAACTCTCAGTCCAATGTTCTATCCATTATGCCCACTAATTTTTCTCGGTAGACGTAATAGGGAACCAATCCTTTAGAAATAGAATAGTCTGACCTGTCATTTATTGGAAAAACAATTGGAAGGAAAAGTGATATACAAATAATTTTCATTTATGCTACTAATTTTGGACATAATCAATTCAAGTATTTTCTAGAATTATGCTAATATTTATATTTCATATTTATCAGAAATTTTCTTTACTGATATTATTTTTTTGGGTCAGATTTTAAAGCCATATAAGAAAGTTGATATAATTTAACCACACCAAGAAAACTATTCACTTTTTCCATATTTAAAACAGGAATTTTCACTCTGGGAGGCTGAGGCGGGCAGATTGTTCGAGGTCAGGAGTTCGAAACCAGCCTGAGCAAGAGCGAGACCCTGTCTCTACTATAAATAGAAAGAAATTAATAGGAAAAATCAGCTGGGCATGGTGGCTCATGCCTGTAGTCCCAGCTACTTGGGAGGCTGAGGCGGAAGGATTGCTTGAGCCCAGGAGTTTGAGGTTGCTGTGAGCTAGGCTGACGCCACGGCACTCACTCTAGCCTGGGCAACAAAGTGAGACTCTGTCTCAATAAATAAATAAATAAAACAGGAATTTTGTGCCTTATTTTTGAAATCTTTTTTATTTCTTTATTAGTCTTTACATCAAAAGAAGAAGCAAACTTCTTCATACATAGACGCCTCCTTTATAACAGATTTGATTTGGAGCTCTTCACTCCTGGTGACCTAGAAAGGGAGTGCATTGAAGAACTTTGTAATTATGAGGAAGCCAGAGAGATTTTTGTGGATGAAGATAAAACGGTAATTTGGTTGTTTATGTTGGTTTCCTGGAAACTTATTAAATTGTACTTGAGAAAGTGGAACTTTCAGTTATTACAGATTTTATGCTTTAAACAAAATCAAGGATGTGTATCTGTTTTTATTTCCTTAAAATGCTAATTAACCTTTTTAGACTAGGCTTTATTCTTAATTCACTGGATTTATAGTAATTAGCAAAGTATTGACTATGTTGTGATTTTTGTGTGTTTAATGTTTGTTATATTCAAAATAATCAGGGGGCAGAGTGAATTAAACTTAAGATATTATTTGCGTTAGTACTCTAACTCAGGCTTCTATCATTTATGACTCTGAGCAATTTCTCCTATGGTGACTTTATCCTTTTTTGATTACCCATATTTATATTTCCAGTATTTACTTATAATCTACTATGTGCCAAGTGCTCTGCTACACTGAGGATACAAAATACATAGCCCCTGTATTCAGGAGTTTATTGTTTGGTTTGTGAGTGTAATATAAGGGAAAAATTTTTAGAAGTTCTCCCGAAAAGAAAATTAAATACTATCTATTAATCTTGATAAAGTACAAAACAGATAGCACTGTGCCTGTTATAAATGGGCATATTCTTAAAGAATGTTAAGTGACCCAGATTCTTTACTTTAGTATTAATAGGTTAAATAACCCCAGCCCCTTTTTCCCTTTTTTTAAGAGTCCCATTTTACTCTTTGGTCAATAAGAACCTCCCCAGGTGTCCTTTGAATGCAGGTGGTAATGGAACCTCTTTCTTGATTCTTCTGTAATTGTGTCCAGCCTCCCATCCTATACAAGTATTTGCCACAGCTATTAAACAGGGAAAACAAAGTATATATTTTGTATTTGTGCCTGTTTGGATTTTATTCTGTTTTTCACAAACCCATTTTCTCATTTTATCATGGTTCCTTATCCACTTTTGTTTTATCCACTTCTGTTCTTTCAAGTAACACTGAACTTAAATTGTCTCAGGGATGTCTTCTGAAATCAATAAATGCCTTTCAATAAAATCTCCTGAGACAAACTGAGGGCATAGAATAGAATTCACCTAGCATAGAATTCAGACTCCTTTTCAAATACGGCATTGGCTCCACAGCCTCAATTTCTACCTTTGGTACTTTCACCTCCTCTCTAATGCAGTAATTTTCCCTTATGCCTGAGATGGGGCTCCAGTCAGGTGAAGGAAGAATAGCAGGACACAGTAGTAGAAAGCTGGGACTGGCCGTAATCCCTTGACCAGTTAGAGAGATGGCAGAGACAGTGGCGGCTGTTAGTACTTTTTTTAAATTTCCTCTACAGCAATTTATCTTAGGGAGCGCTTTAATGAGAGCTACCTAGAGAGAGGGCATGACTCAATGAGAGTGAGTCATGCCCTCCAGCTTGAATGAACTGGTCTCCTACTTGTGGCATATGTAAAGAGTTTACCACCCCTAGTCTAGGTCCTTGGTACCAAATGAAATGATAATAAAAAAATGGAATAAATGTGGAAATTTTACCTTTTTCTTAGATGGCATTTTGGCAGGAATATTCAATAAAAGGACCAACTACAAAATCAGGTAAAGCAAGAATTGATCAAATTTAATGTTTTTCTTGACTCCTATTGTCATACATTTTAGTTTTATTGTTTGAGTTTGGTTGCTCAACATACATACTTTATAAATCCAAGAAATATTTCTCAATTAAGAGACAGAGAAGACTACATTCGTCTGTTTATACACTGAAAATCAAGTTTGGTGAGATACTACAGAAATGAGATAATCGGCTTAAAGCTGTTTTAAACAGCTCAGCTAAGTCAAGACTTGCACAGAATAAAAGTAGGATCCTTTTATCATTACAAGTAAATGGAATGCCTACACTAGGTAAATTAAGATTGTTGAATAGATATAAGTAACTTATTAATTAATTAAGAAAGCCTTTATCCTATCTGTATTGATCATCTCTAACTGGTTTTTAGTCGGATGTTTATTTTTTGCCAGCTATTCTTTCAATTCCTCATCAACAGGGCTCCCTATGGGAGACTATATTGCAGAGTTACCCCAAGTTGCTTAAAAATATATCTTTGTGGTTAATAACAAAATATGTCTAGTTGAGCAAAGAATATATTTATTCTACTTAGTTTTTAATATTATCCATTTAATATGACTTATTTAAAATAAATAAAAGAATGAATAGCTATATCTAGGGCTTTTAAAAGTGTCATTTAAATTTTTTCAGGTAGATTCGCTAGTGTGGACTTTCAGAGAAATCAGTATCAATGATTAGATACTTAATAATGTGTTTAGACCCTATTTAGACCCAGTGTTAACTTTGTTGAAATCATAAATGATACTGTACAGTTATATTTATGTTATTTATATTATGTTAAATTTATGTTATTTTAATGATTTCTCTTAAGATGGTAACAGAGAGAAAATCGACGTTATGGGCCTTCTTACTGGATTAATTGCTGCTGGAGTATTTTTGGTTATTTTTGGATTACTTGGTTACTATCTTTGTATCACTAAGTGTAATAGGCAACAACATCCAGGGTAAGTACCAAGTAAAAATATTTAATTCATTATTATACATTCTACATTGTTATTTTTAAATGGATCAAGGAAATGGCTGCGTATTTTTTTAAATAAATTTTTTATTTTGGAATAATTTTAGATATATAGGGAAGTTGGAAAAGTAGTATAGCAAGTTCCTATATATCCTTCACACGGTTTCCCACATTATGAACATCTTACATTACCATGGTAGATTTGTCAAAGCTAAGAAAATGACGTGGTACATAACTATAATGTTAACTAAACTCCAGACCTTACTTAGATTTTATCTATTTTCCCATGAGTGTCCTCCTTCTCCTCGAGGATCTAGTCAATACCACATTGCATTTAGTTGTCTTGTCTTCCCAGGCTCCTCTAGTCTGTGACAATTACTCCGTCATCTAATTTAACACTTACATAAACAAATTAATGATGCAATTTCTAAGCTTCTTCAATAATACAAGAAGTTTCACATATGTCAGCTCAATTTTTCAGTATTTCCTTCTTAAGCCAGAGGCAGATCCCAGAAACTCCACATTATTTCCAGAGGCAAGAAGCCCTGTAGTTTTTCCTCTTAGTCACAGAGTTAACAGATCTATGTGGCTACCCAAATAGAAACAGTGTGTCTGGCTTTTTAATTAAACTATTTTTATTGATACTTTAAATAAAAAATAATAAAATGGTTACCAATTAAGGACAATAGCACATTAATGAAGCTTCATAAAGATTCATAAAGGCCATAATTGTTTGTATAATAAAAGTTCTGTATCCTTATTGAAATAAAAGTGCCAATTATCTTCCCAGTAAGTATGGATGAATAGATGCAGAAATAACCTTATTAAAAAAAAAAGCACCAGATGCTAAACAGGCTATTAGAAATTGATGCTTGTATATCTCTAATCACACTTTCACATTCTATGAACTAGCTCATCATGGTGACCAGGTGTACTTTGTTGTGATAACTGGTCTTTTGATTTATCTTTTTAGCAAAAATGGGCAGTGTTTTGGTATCCTTCCAATAGAATAGAAAGTATTCCTTATCATATATATTAAAAGATTCTTTTTTTTCTAACTTAGGAATGGTTTTAAACTCACATCAAGTAAAATTTAAATGCCACAAAATGGCTTACACTCTTCAAAAAATGTCCCTGTCATGAAAGACAAAGGAAAAGCTAAGGAACTAACTGTTGCAAATTAAAGTAGATTATGTAACAATTATAGTAGATCCTGGACTATATCATGGCCCAGAAACATAAATTGCTACAAAGGAAAGTTTGGAGGAAAATTTGAATATGGACTAGATATTAAATAATATTGAACCAGTGTTAAATTTCCTGAATTTGAAAACTATGTGAAGATCTTCTCAAAATATTAATTATATAATGATTCTAAAATTCTATTGTCAGTCACTATTTTTAAAAAAAGCTAATTAAAACAACATAGCATTAAAAATTATGTTTAATTGGTTGAATTTTTTTAGTTTTTGTCCATTTTAAAAGAGTATTGTACAACTATTCAAGTCTAAATGCAATATAAAAGTAAACATATAGGAAACCAGAAGACTTTAATCATAAATGTTTAATTGATGTAAGGTTATTCTTAATTGTTTCATATCAGATATAAATTGAAAATAGAATGACATGTAGAGGAAGCATATCAAACTGGAATTTGGAGACAAAGATTATCATGTTAATTCTGCCACTATTTAATAATGGAGCTTGAAGCAAATTCCTTGATATTTCGAGCTTTCCTAATCTGTAAGATGAAGGAAATGGACTCTGATTCCTCTTAAAATTCCGCAATATTTTTTTATTTTACCAAAGACAAGAATACATTTTATGCCCTTGATTATATTGTCAGAATTAAAGTTTTTATTTTTTATTTTTTATTTTTATTTTTTTTTTGAGACAGAGTCTCACTTGTTGCCCAGGCTAGAGTGAGTGCCGTGGCGTCAGCCTAGCTCACAGCAACCTCAAACTCCTGGGCTCAAGCGATCCTCCTGCCTCAGCCTCCCAAGTAGCTGGGACTACAGGCATGCGCCACCATGCCCGGCTAATTTTTTCTATATATATTAGTTGGCCAATTAATTTATTTCTATTTATAGTAGAGACGAAGTCTCGCTCTTGCTCAGGCTGGTTTCGAACTCCTGACCTTGAGCAATCCGCCCATCTCGGCCTCCCAGAGAGCTAGGATTACAGGCGTGAGCCACTGCGCCCGGCCAGAATTAAAGTTTTCAAAGTTATTTATTAAAAAAGAAACTTTTTCCTTCTGCACTCCTACTGCTTCACTTGACTGGGCTCAAAAAAACTTTTACATACATATAGATCTAAGTGAAATTCATAAATATAAATAGTATATTTTCCCCTAAAATTTAGTGTAAGTATTTTCTTTTGAAGAAGGTTTAAAGTAGGCTATTTCATTTTATCTGCCATGAATCACTTAAAAATCATTTCCATTGTGATGAGAACATCTGAAAATGTATCAATAATGGAGATTAGGGTCTTTAAAGAAATTTTATCGTATTTTGTGCCTAAAAAGTAATACATGCATTATTTAAACATTCAAATATTATATAATAGAAAGATATAATATCAAAAATGAAAATTCCCATAATTCTACTTTTCTTTTTCATTTTTTTGAGACAGAGTCTCATTCTGTTGCCCGGTCTAGAGTGCCATGGTGTCAACCTAGCTCACAGCAACCTCAAATTCATGGGCTCAAGCAATCTTCCTGCCTTAGCATTCCAAGTAGCTGGGACTACAGGCATGCACCACCACACCTGCTAGTTTTTTCTTTTTAGAAAAAACTGTCCACTCTGCCTCAGTTTCCCCATAAGTAAATTGAGGATAATAATTGGAACCATCACATGACATAGTTCTAGAGAGGTGCCATTTACACGGACTACACTATATTTTGTGCAGTATGGTAGCACAGATAATAATTATATGTATTTCATAGGGGAATTATAAGGAAAAATAATTTTATATAGAAAAAGTATTTAAAATGTTCTAGAAATCTGTAGACATGTTAAAAAAAATAAAATAAAAAAATAAAATGTGCTTGGTATGTAGCAAGTACTCAGTAAATGTTAGCTATTATTATTAATTTGCAAACTAAGATTCTTTTAAAAGTTTGTGTAAGAATTTTGTGTTCGTATCCAGTGTTCATTGTTTCTTTAAAAATAGATCTGGACTTGGAATAAGCTACAGGTTATCCATCATTCAAATAGAATTAAAAGGTATTATTAGAAGGTAATACAGGTAAATCAGAGATATTATACTGTAAATAAATTTTATTCAAACTTAGCAGATCTACAAAAAATGTATTTGGCCTCTGAAATTTCCCTTAGCCCAGATTTGCCTTCCACATCACACATCATTGCTAACCATACATTGTTCACCACTGCCACACCACCTTCTCTTTTAGTATTATCTGTATTTTGTAGAAAGTGTATTATGGCACGTGGAGGAAAAGACATGGAATGATGACCATTTGATTGAGGCCATTTGATAACAAAAGCAACTTGAATATAAACATATGAGATATAGAACATTCACTCTCCTCGTAAATGGCTCAGAATGTCAAGCAGGCATATGATCAGTGTGGGATACAACTAGTCACTTTGGAGGACATGAGTTCCAGAGGAAATTACTGGAGAAGGGTGTTCTAAGGAGATAGAATCGTGGGAGCAAAGATGGCTACTACCAAGGCTCATGTAGGAGATGATAAGCAAAATAATCTTGACTATAGATTTAAGAGCTCTGATAAAGAGTAGCAAGTGACTGGGGAAATTGTTGGATAATTAGAATGGAAGCCACAAGGAGTTTATATCTGAGTTGCTAGACAAGGAGGGGTGGGCCAATTATGCAGAGGATTAAAAGGAAAAATGGCCTTTGGGAAAGATTTTCGAGAAATGGTAATATGCTAGGTCTTAGGAACACAGTGGTGAGTAAAACAGACATAGTATAGTGCCTGCCACCATGGATCTCACATTCTGGTTTCTTAATTAATTTGTGCTAGAAGAGGGAGAAACTGGAGGACGGAGGAAAACAAGTAAGATGCTTGTGTTGCAATTCACATGTGAGATCATGAGTCTAGATTTATCTTCAAGGAAAAAGAAGCTGTAGGACTTGATGCCTGATTAGAAAGAACTAGGGGATGTTGGAAGAATGTGATTTGAATCTAAACTTTTGTGCTGAAGATATATATATATATGTGGAAACTGGGAGGAAGAAAATAAAATTTGGATTTGACAGAACAAAATAAGGTATATTTTAAAGATAGCTTAATAAAGACTAACACAACGAAAAGACAACCCAATTTTTAAAACTATAAAGGACTCAAATTGACATTTCTTCAAAGAAAATATACATATACATACATATACATTGCATGAATCTGATATATTCATACAATGGAATGTTATTCAACCATAAAAAGAAATGAAGTTCTGATGCATGCTACAACTTGGATGAACCTTGAAAACATTATACCATATTTAAAAAGCTAGATTCAAAAGGACAACTGTTGTATGATTTCATTTATGTGAAATATCTAGAATAGGCAAATCCATAGGGACAGAAAGTAGATTAGAGGTTACCTTGGCCTGGGAGGAAGGAGGTATCTCAGTCTATTTGTGCTGCTATAGCTGAATACCTGAGACTGGGTAATTTATAAAGAACAGAAATTTATTTCTCACAGTTCTGGAGACTGGGAAGTCCAAGATCAAGGTGCCAGCACGTTTGGTGTCTGGTGAGGGCCTGGTCTCTGTCTCCAAGATGGTGATTTGAATGCTGCATTCTCCAGAGGGGAGGAAAGCTATTTCCTACATGGCAGAAGAGCAGAAGAGCGAGAGGGAACCCCTCCTGCAAGGCTTTTTTATAGTGGCATTAATCCACTCACAAGGTCAAGGCCTTCATGACCTAAACACCTCCTAGAAGGTCCTACCTCCCAACACTGTTGCATTGAAGATTAAGTTTCAATACGAGTTTGGAAGGAGACAAAAACATTCATGCCATAGCAGGGGGAATGGAGAGTTATTGCTTCATATGTAGAGTTTCTGTTGGGGTGATAAAAGGATTATGGATATAGATAGTGGAGACTGTTGTACAACATTGTCAGTGTAATTAATACTACCAAATTGTACACTTAAAAATGGTTAAAATGGCAAACTTTATATCGATATTTTTTGGTGACAAAAAAAATTTTTTTTAACTGGAAAAAATGAAAGAAAGGATAAGAATTTAAGACAACAGATGTGGAATGGGGATTCCACATCTAGTGGGGGATAAAGTTGAAAACATGAGAGTAGGAAAGTTCTCTAAGTGTAATGAAACCACAGAAGGGAAAGGACAGAGCCTTAAAGGATACCCACAGTCAGGGCACAGAAAGGAAAGGAGGTGCCAGCTAAGAGGGCAGAGGAAGAGGGAACATGCACTGTCATTCTAGCCCCGAGACCGAATGCTTGAAAAGCTCCCTGAGGCAGTATGTGACTGATGGGCATGGACTGAGCAGTTTGTCTGTGTAAATCCTCTAAAAATTTGAGAAGTGAGAGAAAGCAAGGAAGAATTTGTTTAATTTTTCTTAAGCCACTGTCTTTATGCTGACAGACCTCTATTAATTTACCGTATTTCACAGAGAGAAAATGAGCAAGGCTTTTCCATTTTCTAGGGCTTTTCACTAAGACTTTATTCAATAGGGCTTTCTCTACAAGCTGGGGGACTCCAGAAGGTTAATAAAGAAATAGGCAAAATTTGTCTTTGGAGAGTCTTCCTGCTTCTTTATATTTCCTTCTTTTCCACCTGATTCACAAAGTCTCTCTAGAAAAGATAATGTATGTCCTCATATTTAATAATTTCTCTCAAAGTCTGTGATAGCCCAACTATTATTCAGTGCCCTCGTGCTTGACATTTCTTTCTCTCTTCTTCTCTGCTTTTCTTCATTTTTCTACTTTTCTGCACCACTGTGTCTTCTCCCCTTACACCTTCTTGTCTGTGAAACATTCCTACCTTCTTCCCTGCATGAGGACAGAAGCAAGAGTTCAAAGACACAAGGAAGGGGCTGGGCTCAATGGCTCACTCCTGTAATCCCAGCACTTTGGGAGGCCAAGGTTGGAGTCTCACTTGAGGCCAGGATTTGAGGCCAGCCTGAGCAACACAATGAGACCCCATCTCTATAAAAGATTTAAAAAATTAGCTAGTCATGGCAATGCACACCTGTAGTCCCAGCTACTTGGGAGCCCAGCCTGGGGGACAGAGTGAGACCTCGTCTTTAAAAAAAAAATAAAGAGAACATTAATTGGCACCATGATTGTGGCCTGTCTTCTTGTATGTTATTGTAAAATTTCAAACCTTATGATATCTCTTATTTTAAAAGTAAAATTAGTTATACTCAATGTTAGTACAGTGTAATGCTGTGTAGTTCACAGATCATTTTTTATATCTGTAGTCTCACTCTGATCCTCACAGCAACCCTCTGACTTTTAGGGGAAATTTCAAACTAAGTTTACTAGACATTCTCTTAGGTTGGTATTAACTTTTAACACTAAAGTACCTTTCATTTATTATCTCAAGAAATTCTTTCAGCAGAGTTATTTGTTCTCTTTTTATATTTTGTAAGCCTAAAAGTGAGGGAATATTTGAGAAAGAAAAGAATAAAAAATAAGATCATTGTCAGAAAAGCTTGCCTGATTCCTCTGTAAAAACATGCCAAGAAATGGAAAACAAGATCTTTTCATTTCTCCCATCCAAGTACTAACCAGGCCCGACCCTGCTTAGCTTCCGAGATCAGACGAGATCGGGCGCATTCAGGGTGGTATGGCCGTAGACAAGATCTTTTCATTTCTTCATTCCTATACTTTGTGGAGGAAAACAGGCATAATACGATGTTGCAGGTCGAGATGCTACTAGTGCATGCGTTCTGATTTCAATCATGTAGGGTGTGTGATGTGTAAGAAGACATTGTGTGGATATTTAATAGCTGATATAATTATTACATCATTTGTATATGTTAAATTTTGAAGGTGAACATGGAAAAATGTATTTGTTCAAATAAAATATCTGTCTCTACCATTTCCTATAAGCAAACAAATAGAACTTTTCATCACAAGCTATTGACGGTGGCAAGTGATTGCCTACCATGAATACGTTCCAGATTTCTGACAGAGGAGGAATTGTGTTGAGCCCTCTAAGTAAACTTGTGATCCTCTCAGTCACCTCTCAATGATTGACAGGCTGATTATCCAGTTCCCAGACTTACATAGACCTTTTGCTTTTCTTCTCTCTCTGCAATTTTTCTCTCTCCTTCCCTCTAATTTCAAATCTCATTATTATCTCCAAAAGAAAAAGGTGTTCTAAGGGACAAATTGGCTGATTTAGTTTGGAAAAGTTTGCAGTATTTAGGGTCTGTTAAACTGTTTTTTGATGGGGAGAATATTGTAAATATTGACTAGAGGTTGAGGGTTACCTATGAATTTTAATGATCTCATTAGCCCTAACTATAGGAGGTTAATTTATGTATAGATTCTTTATAGACAGCCAACTTTACAGTCTAAACAGTTCGATTTACTGATGTTTAAATTACAATTTGTAATTCACAAGCAAGAAGGGAAAACCATAGGTTTAAAACACCAGACTCTTCTTGCATTTCAATTTTCATTGGCTGACAAGGTTTTGCGAAAATGGTGGGACTTGAACTGAGCCACATTTTTAAAAAAATTGTTGGGTTTAGATCAGTGAGGGGTGGGGAGGAGAGAGACAATATTTCAAGAAAAGGAACAATACCGGTGAAAGCAGAGAGAAAAGCCTAAGAATTCACTACACATAGAGGGGAGTGTAAAGAAGCCGCCTTGGCAAGAGCAGAGAGCTCTAAAAAAATAAGGCGAGGCCAGGATAAGGGAGGTTTTGAAAAGAAGGCACAGGAGTTAGAATTTGATTCAGTGGAAAGTAGACTGCAGTTAGACTTTTGAGCAGAAGAGTGACATGAAGGAAGTACTGTTCAGGAAGGTTTGACCAGGCAGCAGGACTACAGGAGGGAACAGAGGAAAAGGACGGGCATCAGCTGTTGTGATTATCTCTGTGGCATCTATTTCCTTGGCTTGGAGTTGTGCCACCTTTCAATAAGGCCAAGATTTGGCTTTGCATCATACTTTGAGTTCTTTTTTTTTTTTTTTTTTTTTTTTGAGACAGAGTCTCACTCTGTTGCCCAGGCTAGAGTGCCATGGCGTCAGCCTAGCTCACAGCAACCTCTAACTCCTGGGCTCAAGCAATCCTTCCGCCTCAGCCTCCTGAGTAGCTGGGACTACAGGCATGCGCCACCATGCCCGGGTCATTTTTTCTATTTATTTTAGTTGGCCAATTAATTTTCTTTCTATTTTTAGTATAGACGGGGTTTCGCTCTTGTTCAGGCTGGTTTGGAACTCCTGACCTTGAGCGATCCACCTGCCTCAGCCTCTCAGAGTGCTAGAATTACAGGTGTGAGCCACCATGCCCGGCCTTGAGAAAGTTCTAATTCAGGAGTGGGAGAAAAGAGAATTCATGTGTTTTGAGTCCTTGTTGTAGCGTGCCAGACATTGCTAGAAGCTTTCCATACAACATCTTACTCAATTTGCACAAAGCGACTCTGTTGAGGTAGTTATTGTTAACCCCATTTTAGAGAAGAGGCAACTGAGTTAGGTAACTTGCCTTTGCTCATCTAGCTATGAAGTGACAGGATCAGGTTTCAAACTCATGTCTGACTCCAAAGCTCTTGGTCATTCCCCTATACCTAGATGCTTCCAGAGTGTGGATAAAATAAAACTGCTGTATTCGTAAATTGTGTTCTGTGTTTATCAAAATAGCCAGCTGGATTTTTAAATACTGCCATCTTACCCCAAAAAAGGCTGCCTTCTCCGAGATCTGAATCCTGTCTCTCTGTTTAGCTCTTCAGCCGTCTACGCAAGAAGGGGTAGGCACACTCCCTCCATCATTTTTAGAAGACCTGAAGAAGCTGTCTTGTCTCCATTGTCACCTTCTGTGGAAGACACAGGATTACCTTCTTATGAACAAGCAGTGGCACTGACCAGAAAACACAATGTTTCACCGCCACCACCGTACCCTGGTCCAGGAAAAGGATTTAGGGTATTTAAAAAATCTATGTCTCACCCATCTCACTAAGTCCACCTTGCCATCTTGGTATAAGAAATTCATGTTATTTAAATGGTTTGTTCTCCCTGAACCAAAAAACACATTATGTATTCAGCTCTTTATGATAAACTACAAGGAATAAAGGAGAAACGAACACATGTACTGCACCACAGATGTTATATCTGCAACTTGGACCTGAACTTGATCATTATCAGCTTGATAAGAGACTTTGACTCCACATCCTTGCGGTTAAGAAGAAAGCACTTTTTAATGTTTTCATGATTCAGAAAAAAATCTATGTTATAGATAGCATAGTTAAAACTAGTGAACTATTTGTATCCTTTGTACAGATAAAGGTTGTGGATTTCTTGTGTTGAATATTTTAAAAGTAAGAATTTCTAATCATTAAGATTATCCAAAATCAGGGTATTAGATGTACTCTTTATCAGGATTTCTTTTTGGTTGGAAATACTTCACAGAATTTGCTGTTTCAATATTAATCTGTGACCTTAATATAATCATGTGGTTTTATATTTTAAATTATCACAAAGTAGTCACCATATTTTGTAGGTTTTGGTTCTTAACTCTTACTATCAGTCATGTTTTGTTATGGGTAGTAGGATCAGTAGTTTTCCTTTTATTGGGGGTGAGGATAGAGTCTTGCCCTGTCGCCACAAAGTAGAGTGCAATGGTGTCATCATAGCTCACTGCAACCTTAAATTCCTGGGCTCAAGTGATCCTCCTGCCTTAGCCTCCTGAGTAGCTGGGACTACAGACTCATACCACCACGCCTGGCTAATTTTTTCTATTTTTGGTAGGGGTAGGGATGTCATTTTCGTTCAGGCTGGAACTCCTAACCTTAAGCAGTTCTCCTGCCTCAGCCTCCCAGAGTGCTAGGATTACAGGTGTGAACCACTGTGGCTGACCCGATAGTTTTCTTTTTCTAAAAAATACTGCTTGCTATGAAGTTAGTTCTTCAGAAGGTACAGGGTTACAATGGAAAGGATTTATAAGGGTTCTTATACTATCGGATAAATAAATAGGCCTCCAATCTGGGAGTGACTAGAATTTGATAAACGTGCCCATGTTACTGATGAGTAGATACTCCCATCTTCACTGCTACATTTTCTACATATACATAATGTATATCTACAACTACATTTGATTATCTTGAAAATTTGTTGAACTTTATAAATAATAGTTTGAGAATCTGGAAAAAGTCATTTACTTTTCTGCTATTAAAATAACATTGATTAAAGTTACCAGAAGCCCTTTCCATCTCATAATACGTCGAAATACAAAGGAAAAACACTGTAAGTAATCATTTTAACCCATTCTTTATCTAGTCTTATAATCATACATAACCAGTTTTTCCTTAAGAATGTAGCAGAGTATAAGCTATAAACATCTGGAGTATGTGTGTACAAATGTATGTGGGTGGGTATGTATATATAAATGTGAACTTGTTTCCTCTTTGCAGAAGCTCAAAAAATAACATATTTCTGAAAAACAGAACAGAAAATTCTGTTCTTTATGTTTTTGCTAGGCATTTTCTTATTATTTAGGATCATTTACAAAATGGCATTTTGTTTTATAATTTTTGTAGGGGTAAGACTGCAAACCCACATACATTTGATAATTCCTTCCAAATTAAATGTTTATAAAGTATAAATTGTATCACAGTGCATGTGTGAGTGTGTGTATCTCCATTTAAAGATAGCATGATCTTAAGGCAGATAAAAGTAAGACCTTCATCTTTACAGACTGCCAGACACCTTTCAGATTCTCTGAGTCTCTTTGGTTGCTTCACAAATAAATCATCTAGCAACATTGAGATGTAATTAGGAAGTCTAACTTTTCTTTTAAAACCTATGTTACCTATAAAAATTCTATTGGTCATATCTTGCTTTAAATAAGCACTTTTTCTCATGTAACTTTGCACTTTGCACTTTTTTAAGTCCTCTTTAAAAATTTATAGCCAAATTCTACTTTGCTCACTTTGTAATAATCACTCTAAGGCATAGGAAGGATAACTTGCCCACAATCTAACAGGTTGAGGACAGCTGGGTTTGGAATAAGTGTGCATATTTTTCTAGTCCCATCTCGTGCCTATAAAATTACAGTGCCTCAAATTATGAAATACAGGGAATGGTCATTTAATTCTAAATTGGTGAGAGAAATGTATAAGAATTTTTCATCTATACATACATTATTTTATATGTATATGTATATTACATATATATATGTTTATACATTCTCACTCACATGAGAAATACTTATGACAAATAGAAATATAGGATATGTATGTATCTCTCGCTGAATCTTAATGTGAAATATTCCATGAACTCATTTTTTTCTATTGACTCCCCAAAATCTAACCACAATGCTAGCTTCAGAACCTGTGATAACCCCACTCTGCCCCAGCAACAGCCTAGATTTGTCATCTGCCCTCATTTTGTGTAAAACAGTTGCTCTAGCTTGAATGAATCTAGAATTCATCAATAAGATTGTGAAGTCACTGGTACTTATAGAGCATACAATGTGGAGATCATAATACTTTAAATATAAAAAGGAAAATGTGACAGAACCCTTATTGGCAAATGCTTATAAAGACTGAAAGGAAAATATCTCAATATAAAATCACTGACATATATTTCTGTCTTGTTCACCTTTTTTTATTCCTGTTGTACACTTGGTGATGGATTTGTTGCTTTGTTTGATTTGTTCATGTTTCTTCCTCAGGCAATTGATAAGTGTTAACCATTAAATCTATTTTTTTAAGGGACAGGGTCTTGCTCTGTCACCCAGCCTTGAAGAGTGCAGTCGCTCAATCATAACTTACTGTGACCTCAAACTCCTGGGCTCAAGTGATCCTCCCACCTCAGCATCCTGATTAGCTAGGAATACAGGTGCATGCCACAATGCCCACCTAATTGTTAAAAGATTTTTTTCTAGAGACAGGTCTCACTATGTTGCCCACACTGGTCTTGAACTCCCATCCCCAAGCAATCCTCCTGTCTCTCCCTCCCAAAGTGCTGGGATCACAGACATGAGCCACTGGGCCAGGCCCATTAAGTCTATTTTGACATAGGGTTTTATATATAATTAGATCAGTTTTCTACTCTGTTAAAATCAGGAAATACATGAATATAGGTATAAAAGGAGAATTGGAGCTGGGCACAGTGGTGCCTGTAGTCCAGCTACTTGGGAGGCTGACACAGGAGGATCACTTGAGTCCATGTGTTCTGGGCTGTAGTCTCCACTATGCCAATAGGGTGTCTGTACTAAGTTCCTCCCAGGAGGAGCGGGGGACCACCAGATTGCCTAAGGAGGGGCAAACTGGCACAAGTCGGAAACAGAGCAGGTGAAAACTCCTGTGCTGATCAGTAGTGGGATTATGCCTGTGAGTAACCACTACACTCCAGCCTGGGCAACACAGCAAGACCCCGTCTCTTTGAAAGAAAGGAGAATTGGACTTGAAAAAGACAAATACACATTTATAAGGTTATACCTTCAGTAGGATAGAAAATTATACATAGAATATTCTCCTTTTAAAATAAAAAAAAATTAAAGAGAGCACAGACTCTGACTGTGTCAAAGTTTTGCATCTGTTAACAATGTGCCCTTGAGAGAAGGGGGGAAATGCGGAACAATTAAAAACTGCAGAGCAACAGTGTCCTCCATGTCTTTGATTTCCTGTTTGCCTCTGAAATTATAATCAATTTTTTTCTGTTTCTCAGATAATTTATGTGTGTGCATGCTCTTCATATATATATACAAGAGAATTTTCAATGCTAAAAGATTTGTTAGAGCTTAACAAAAGCTCAATTTTAATATTATTCATATTGGCTTTGTTTTAATTAAATCTTTATTACTTATTAGTTTGATTTGAAATGTGATATAGGACACTTATACTATTGGGGGAATGTCTAGCATTTCTATAATTTTTTAAAAAAACTAAATTATTTTGTCAATACTGCCTATGTGGCCATTTTAGAACATGTATGACATATATTGATGCCTTCATTCTTCTGTATTGTGTGTGTCTTGCAACTTTTTTTGCAGTTTAAAAATGTTTCCCTAACAGTTTAATAGCTTAAGGTAACCCAGTACAAATATATCAGTATTTTCATTATCTGGAAAAAGCAGCCCACTTTTTTGAATACATATTTTTTCCTAAAACCTTATTGTGTTTTTATTTTAATAAGTTTCCTGTTACATGTACTTTTTCTACATGTAAATAAACTTTGTACTAAGTAAATATTTATTGCCTGTTCTATTTAAACACTCCTCTTTGTCATATAAAGGCACATAATGACATATGCCATTACGTGAATTCAATCTGAAAACACATTGCATGTTTTCAAAATAATGTTTATAGCATGGTGTTGCTGTATATATCTTTCACTAAGTATAGCTAGCATTCTATTTAAACAATATAGTTGCAATTGAGAATTGTTATTTTGTGTAACAAGTTTTTAATATTTAATGTATCCTTTGAGGCAAACATAATATATTACTCCTTAAAACTAAATTTCTTTCTCTTTTTTTTTGAAACAGAGTCTCACTTTGTTGCCCAGGCTAGAATGAGTGCCGTGGAGTCAGCCTAGCTCACAGCAACCTCAAACTCCTGTGCTCAAGCAATCCTACTGCCTCAGCCTCCCAAGTAGCTGGGACTACAGGCATGCGCCACCATGCCCGGCTAAATTTTTGTATATATATATTTTAGTTGCTTAATTAATTTCTTTCTATTTTTAGTAGAGATGGGGTCTCGCTCAGGCTGGTTTTGAACTCTCGACCTCGAGCAATCCGCCTGCCTTGGCCCCCCCAGAGTGCTAGGATAACAGGCTTGAGCCACTGCGCCCGGCCTAAATTTATTTCTGTGACCTATATCTATATATAATTGAAAAATCAGAAGAAAATATAATAATGTTATACTAAATGATAGGAGTAACATAGTACTTCCAACTTAAGAGAAACAAATTAAATAATACTATCATACACATATATGAACATTGATTATTACTAAATGTCACTTACTTTCATGTTAAATATTTAGACCACCTTAAAATTTTATTGGATCAAGTGAGTTATACACAAATGTTAACATTTATACTCTTTAAAAATACTTTTATCAAGAGAGTAAGGCACGGCACAGACTGGGAAAAAAATATTTACAAAAGACACATCTGGACCGTGAGTGGTGGCTCAGTCCTGTAATCCTAGCACTCTGGGAGGCCAAGGCGGGTATATCGCTCAAGGTCAGGAGTGTGAAACCAGCCTGAGCAAGAGCGAGACCCCGTCTCTACTATAAATAGAAAGAAATTAATTGGCCAACTAAATATATATAGAAAAAATTAGCCGGGCATGGTGGCGCATGCCTGTAGTCCCAGCTAC